CTTGTGAGGACATGTACCAAGTTTGGTCTGAATACGATAAAGCATTGGGGAAATACAGTCTTAAGTCTGTTTTTGTAACCACTACGTAAAATTAGTTTGCTCCGTATTCGAGAACGGTTCGAGAACGAATCAACTTGAATTCCTTTTTGTCGGCATGGTCTGAAGATGATCTGGTTAAATTTTCATGAAAATCAGAGCAAAGGCCTAGGAGGAGTTTTAAAAAGTAGGTTTATCAGAAAATTCTAATTCAAATTGAGCCAAGGAATCAGAGGAAATAAGAATTTTGTTTCTAGCCCTTACAGTTCAAAAGTTATTAGCATAAACATGAGTGAAACTTTGGACAGTTGGTGGCACTAGAGGGGTTGAGTTAGAGACTCCAAATTTGCTATGGTGATATGGTCAGACTGTCCTCTATCAGTCTGACAAATTTCATAACTTTCCCACAAGTGGTTCTATGGGCTGTCATAGACTTCTGTGGCGAAAGAAGAAGCGGAAGAATAAATATAGCTGCAAGTAGCAACAGCAGTGTAGAGCAGGAAGAGCAAAAACAGCAGAAATTGAACATAAATGAAAAAACAGCTGGTTCAGAAGTACAGGTGAAAATTAACTCAAAATGAACAGAAGTTCAGATGAGAATGAACACAGAATGAACAAAACATACTTATTTCTAATCCAAGAGAAAAAAAGATTAGTACAACACTTGAATAATAAAGGAATCAAAATGACACAATATTGCACACAATTTTTCTAAAGTCGTCCCACACGGTACTTGAACCCACTATCTCTGTTTCAGATGCCTGTCACTTATTTCGTTGCACCACTGGGAAGACGTGCATTTACCATTACAAGATGCCGATGTTCCATAGTTTAAGTGAGAATCAACTCAAAATTAAGAATTTTTATATGGCCCACGTGTCTTATTTATTGAGCTCCTTTTCAGAGAGACACCATGTCTAGAACTGAAGAAACTTTTGCTTCATGCCACACATGTTTCGAACCCACGACCTGAATGGTTCGGGGCTCGTGGCACGTGGTTTAGCAGCTTGCGCCACTCAGTTGACGCTGACTTACCAAACTGCAGAGGAGAGGCTTCAGTGTAAGAATTAACACACAAAAGCATGTTAACCAGATTAGGTTATCTTATTAGGTTATCTCAGATATCTTAATGCTAATGTAGCTTATGGTTAACCTGATAGCTAAAGAGCCACAATGCATTCATAAAGTTTAGCATTTAATATTATGATATTATATTGTAATTAATGGCAATGTCCTTATTTTGTTCAATTATAGCGCCACCAAGTTTTATGTGTTCTCAGAGTGAGCGCAGCCCATACATGTGTGTCAAATTTGGTGAAAATATCTCATTTTGTTTTAGAGTTATAGACATTTATATGTATGAGAGCATAAAAAATTACCCATGGGCGACCTTGATTGGATTTTTTTGCCACTTACTATCAAAATATTGACATTTGGGTATTAGTATATTGCCAACGACCTATGTTTTCGAACTTCCCACAGTGGTTTAGTCTCGATTGGTCTAACGGTTTCGAAGATATTGGCAAATGTTTTTTAGGCGCTAATTTACAACATTATGCTAACCATAAGGTGAAACCTAGCATGTTTGGTATTGGTTAGACTCTGCACGGATTCAGGAATGTAAGGAGATGACTCCAGTGAAAATAAGTCAATCAAATCCAAAGTTATAAACATGTAAATATTTGGTCCGAAACGTGCCGATGACCCATACCAAGTTTTGTAACGTTATGAATGAAATTTCATAACTTTCCCGCAAGCGGTTCTATAGGCTGCCATGGACTTCCATAATGAATAATAAGAAGAAGAAGAACGCCAACAATTTCAAGAGGTGCCTGCATGGGCACTTTCAGTGCTTGGCCCCTAATAATAAGAACGCCAACGATTTCAAGAGGTGCCTACGCACTTTCAGTGCTTGGCCCCTAATAATTTAAAGCAGCCTTCTGGTCAGTTTTCATTCTGGACTACTTAAAAAATCTATGCATAAAGAAATTTTTGTCAAGAAACATGTGCAGTACTACAACTATTATGAACATGCTGATGAATAAATCATCCCTTGGGCACTAGTGTCATTGGCCAACTGTTCCAGACTGTCTTCCACATGTGTATCCTTCAGCTGTGATAGGCCTAGATCATGACTAAATACCCACATTAAACACATTAAAGTTTAGTAATATTGTACAAAAAAATAACAAACATTCGACACTATTAACACTGAAAACTTTTAAAAATGCAAATATCCTTAAAAAAAAAAAGCATTGTCAACCTAGTTTTTCTTTAAATTGTTCTGTCAGGAAACTTCTTTGTAAGGTAAAATTGTTGCTTAATGGTCGTAAATCCACAGACCACTGACAGCTGGGTGGGTAATTGGGAGTTAAATGCATGAGGTGGTAACCGGAGGATCCTGTTAACTGATACCTCATGGACTCTCAAGAGACCAAATTAAGATAAACTTTCCCTTCAAAAAATGCTCTGAGCCCCTGCTTCCCAGGAGATAAGACAAAGAGTTACTCAAGAAAATTACCAGCATGAAACAGCTGGCACTACCAATTATTATAATTCAGCACCCTTTAAAAACTGTTGGACAAATCATACTGATGAATTTATTTTTGAGGGTAAATAAAGGAAAACTAGCACACTGAATGCAAAGTGACCTTAAAAAAATGCACTGAAACAAAGTAATCTTGTTAAATTATGAAGCCTGGATGCAGTGCTAGATGTGGGGGAAAAAAGAAGAGAAAACTCTTACATCATGGTCTGCACGATAATCTTTAATATGTTTTTTTGGCAGTTGCTTGCCTCTGAGAACTCTGGGATTTTCATGGTGCTATCAACAAGACCACAGTGCTAGATCAGAGCAATAACCTTTTTAATTGCCATCATACTGCAATGCCAGTGCTGGTCATAAACATGCAAGGTCATTAAATGATCAAGGCAGACTTTGTGTCAGATGAGAATTGCTCTCCCCTCACAACAGATCTTCACAACTGTCTTCACAATGAATCCTTTTTTCTATCAAACTCTTAACGCTTTTTGCACATCATTCAAAAAGTCCCTCACAGCTAAAAATAAAGGCACTTGAGTTTGGTCATAGAGTGCCCAGTATCCAGTCATTTTCAGAGAGAATCTTGTTATACCCAGAATGCAAAGAAAGTTACTTCCTTTTTTAAAAACATAGACACACAATAATCTGATTTTTAGTCCAAGCATGGCTGAGGTCTACCAAACATGGCTGAGGTCTTATCTGTATAAGAGACAAACTTGTTCCTTAAGAAGGAACTTGCACACACAGTAATTAGCATACTAAACCAAACCATCTCCATATACGAGTTTTCCACACAATGATTTTCTCCTGTATTAGTAACTTTCTTTAAACAAACATGCGCAGCAAGATCTCCAAGTGGAGTCAAGTGTGCCACTCTCGAAACTAGTCGAATTACAATAAACTTTTATATAAGCCTTTACTATACATGATCAACTTGGATTTTGTGTAGAATCACAGAACTAGCTTCAACACACTTAATGGACCCATTTTGTATTAAGTGCCTTTCACTATGTACTAACACTTAAATTAATAATTTGATACAATTCCCTTATTCTGTACATAATTTTTTTTTTCATTTTATTTATATTTTAAAAATACCTGCATGTAATTACAGTTGTAACTAATTTCTGTAATGACATCTATTACTTTGTTGACCCTTCCCTTATCCCTAACCATACCACCAAACTTACCCAAACCTTACCCCTATCCCACCTCAATAGCAGCAAGTGTTTTGCAAAACAGCACGAACAGAATAAGTACACCTGGGTGATTTGTTTTTCATGTAAGTACATAGAAAAAAGACATCTAATATAAAATGTGACCCACTTAATTTTGTATTGTAGCGCACTACTTATTCTGTTTTTTAATAATAACAAATGTAGACCGCCAGGATTCTTTTTTTCCCACAATCTTGTAGTTTATTTTATACTAAATTTTATATTTAAGTGCAAATGTACCGATGAATCATAATGTCTGTTTGAAAAGGTTTGCGCACAGGTTTTACATACAAATATGAGCTATGGGTCAAACAGAACTCTGAATTTAACGTTGAGAATGTAAAAAGAATGATAATGTAATTAGTATTCATGCATGCACATAATTTTAATGGATTCACATTGAGCCACGCATGCAGGTGCAGACCTCACATCACAGCAGATGTGCATGGGTGCAAACTCTCCGCTGGTTAGCATATCCCTAAATGTTGGTCTAATCCCTGGCAAAGCAGTAGCAGAGCAACCGCTGGCAGACAGGAAGTGACCTGTGCCTTTCACGGTAGATAGCACACTCATAAATAACACATACCAACAAGCAAGCAGCACAAGTTTAAGATGCATCCCAGTTTTACCTTTGTGGTTACTAACGGTTATGCATGGCTGACTAGGCTCTGGTCCCTCTGGGAGGGTGTGGCAGGCCACAGGCAGGCCCCTCTCCTGTAGGACTGTCCAGCAGCTGTCCAGCAGCACCTCACAGAATGTCCTGCAGGGTAGCAGGACTAACCCAGAATTTTCAGAGGGCTGATGGCATCTTGGTGCCAGTAGTAGGCAAAAAAACCATTCCAAACCATGGTGGCAGCCTGAACGCAGGAGCCAATCCCATTCATTCAATACAGCTACCACATCCTCTGCACGAGTGTGGTTAAAAAAATTAGGTAGAGAAAATTTTACTTCACCATGAGATATACAGAAAGGCCAGTCAGGGCCTCTTGGTAAGCAGTTTGTGGAATCCTTAGGGAAAGCGGTGGTACTAATTATGCTAATCCTGCTGTCAGTAACCCACGTCCCTTTAAGGTTGGTTGTTTTTTTGCCTTCCTGAGCCAAATCCAAAGTGGGCCCTGAGCCTAAGCCAGACCCACTGGCATCACCTGAGGAACCTTTGACATTTATTTCATGTTTGACTTTCTCTGATAAATACTTATCATTACCCCTTTTCGAATGGCCATCCTTCGAGGAGATACCAGGTGTCCAGGTGACAGCACTATTCCATTTCACAGTTGGGTTCTCGTCCCAGTTCTGCACAAATCCTTGGATCCCTCTGGCTACATCTATGATATCTGAACCTACATCACCAATGTCCTTGTCCTCACTGGTCGTTCCACTGGCAGAACTGTCTTTGTCCACTGTGGGGCCCTCTGTGACACCTTGACTGGTCCACCAAAAGGCATTAAGAGGACCCATGTCCAGAATCAACAGGAGAGTCAAGCCCCAGCTGAACCTCATCTTTGTACATACACTAGTTCTTCCGCTGCACAAGTCATTCAGAATATGCTATCAGGTGTGTCTTGCAAAAGTAGCCAAAGCAATACTGCAATGCAAGATGAGCTATCCTTTCCTTCTCTTAGCTCATTGTGATAGAGGGAGAGAGAGACAGAAGGCGTGTTCTTTTTAATAGTTGAACCTCATTGGCCACTTCTACTTGCCCTCCAAAATGTGAGTAACACTCAATATCCTTTTGTGTCCCAATGGACAACGCTCCAAGAACACAGATGTCTAGCCCATGTGCAGCTCAGTTTTACTAATGCTCCTCTTTTGAGAATAGAATCCATGTATGGAGTGTGCTTGTTTGCTTGTAACTTACCTAATTTGGTTACTTTTTAATTTTCATGAATGATTGTCCATCAAATTAACAATTAATCTTTGACCATTAATTCCAATAAAATGCAAAGTGGATGAATCTAAATACCATGTGCACATAGCTTTTTAAATTATAATATAAATAAGTATATTTAATTGGAATAATACAAAAACTATCATATGCTGTCTCCATTTATGCATTTATTTCTTTAAAAGAAGACATTTTTAAGAATGTTGTGGTCTAAACGACATTAGATCTCTTTGACTTTCAGTGTATGAACAAATCTCATTATTTTCTAAATTTGTGTGACAACAATAACACCCAAAATAAATTAGTTTCAGTACTGTCCTTATATCACTGTGTATGGTCTTCACTCATTTTTACTCATTTTTACATAAACATCATACTGTTTATTCCTAAATTTGCAGCTGCACAAAATAGTACTGCAGTTATTTGAGGGGAAATCCAAGCAAATGTTATACACAGCATTTCTTCTCAGTCCCCCACTGGTTGTACTCAGAGCTCATAGTGCATCTATTCATGCCAGCAGGGCTGTTTGGCGTGGGTCTGAGTGACAGACACACAACAGCTGACAGCATATCTGATCTGGTGGATGCATCAGCCTACGTATGTGTGGAAACCCATAACCTCATCTTTGTGAAAGGCAGTTTTCCCACATTCTGATTCTGACCATGCCTGAACCTCCTCTGCTCAAAATCTCAAACGTCTGTCCAGCTGTTCGACTCCACATATGCTCTCAGCTAACCCTGATGACACCATGGGTACTTGGCCTTCTAACAATCACTTTGTCTATTCCGTCCCCTGCATGCTCTCACATTTCCTGTATTTCTAACACGCAAACTTATAACAGGCACAAGCAACACACACACGCATGCACGCATGCACGCACGCACGCACGCACGCACGCACGCACGCACGCACGCACGCACACACACACACACACACACACACACACACACACACACACACACACACACACACACACACACACACACACACACACACACACACACACACACACACACACACACAGCATATTCCAGGTTAGGTTCCAACAGGGTGAAAACACTGACTCAGTAAAACCTAACCCTAACCCTAACCCTAACCCAGCAACTGTGTTTTTTTGCACTTCTGGCAGTGTGAATTGGCCTTAGAGCACAGGTTGTTATCATTATAAATTAAAAGTGTTAGCCTACATACTAATATAAAACTAATATACTGAAATGCAACTGCTGATACTACTATTACTAATGATAATAATAATAATAATAATAAAAGAAATAGTAAAGCAAGAAAAAAAATCATACATTTACAGCTGCAGTACCATACAATTACAGAGCTATGAAAAATGTTTCCTTTCGATTTGAATTGATTTTCATACGGATCTTCAGTCAAGATCTCTCCCAGGAATTGGTCATCATGAGGACTTCACCAAATTCTTAGAGTGTGTGCTGGTGAGCAATGAGTCTGCGTTTACCATCGGCCATGCAGAGGATTCCCTGCTGGTTTTCTGGTTCCCCCACTCGTCCCGCCCAACTCAGAGACAATGCCCCCACTGGTTCGGCTCAACTCAAGAGTTTCCTATGCCCCTGCTGGTTCTGCCCAGATCAGAGTTTCCTGCGTCCCCTCTGGTTTCTGCCAGCTCAAAATCTACAGAAATCCCTTCCAGACTCCCTCTCCCACCTCTTCTACCAAAGCCAGCCAGTTCTTCCAGTCCCCAGCTCCGCCTAGGCATAAGGATTACCCATCTCCGCTTCCAGCCACTGAGCCCCAGACTCCACTTCGGTCCTCCGACCCATCGGTTTCACCTTGGCTGCATGCTCCCACATCTCCACCTTGGCCCGCCATCCTACCATTTTCGCCAGGCTACCTCATTCCCCCATCTCCGCCTTTGTCAGGCATCCAATTACACCTTTGTCATTCATCCCTTCGGCTACACCAGGCATCCTCCTTCTCTCCAGCTCCACTGTTGTCATCTGACGCACTGGCTCCACAGCGGTCTCCCGGACCCCCGCCTCTGCTTCAGTCCCAAGAGCCGTCAGCTCCACCTTGACTCTCCAGACCAGCAGTGTCTCCTCGGCTCCATCTGGGTCTCCACCATGGCCGGTTCTGTCTAAGGAGATTGCATCCCTGGTCCCTTCTCCCAGGTCTCCACCATGTCTCCTTCCTCCTGCAACTCCACCATGGAACATCTCACTGGCTGTGGCCTAGGTCCCGGCCATGGTCCCTGCCTGGTTCCCTCTTCCTGGCTCCTCCCTGGCTCCTCCCTCCTTCCACTCCCCCATGGACTCTTTTGCCTGCCCCTGACTGTTTTCATCCCTCTCCTGTTCCTCGACCTCCTCTGGAACCCCCACCCTCCCTCAGCTGGACTGTTACACCATGAGGACATGCCTGTTTGACCTAGATTCCTAGTGCGTGCCAGTTTGTTCCCGTGATTCATGATTCCGTTCACCTGTCATTAAATTAATTAACTCATTTAGACTGTGTATATATACTCCCTGTTTTGTTCAGTTCTTTGTCCAGTCTCATCTTAGTGTAGTGGTTGTGTTTCCTGAGTTTCTCCTCTCCTGCTTGTTTTGTGCAGCATTGGTATAAAGACTGTTTCCTTTGAACTATTCATCTTTGTGCACTTATAGCACACACGTGTGACAGGCGGATGCTGGCATTTCATATGTTTTGAGTCGGCCAATCAGCGTACAGTTACGTCACTGGTAGTTCCTATTGTGCTGGGTTAGACCCTACTCTGGAGTAGAAGCTAATTTAGTCCCCCCCAAAAGGCATTCCCATAAGTAAAATCTTTCCCAGTTCCTGTGGTGCGAACTTGCCAAAAAGCAGGTATTTTCACTAATAGTTATAGGAACTATGGTGCGAAATGATGTTTTATTAACAAAGTTCGGGAGGAGCACGTGCAGATAATTAAACCTAATTAAACACATGTGGAGCAGGTTCAGGTTATCAAACCTAATTAGACACGAGTGGAGCACACTCTGTTAATCAACCCAATCAACGAGTTAAGAGTCGTTGATTGTATAAATACTCCTAAAATACTCTTACAACAACGGGGGGAGTACTCTGGGTTCGGGCAAAAATTCCGAGCTCGGAGCCCTCCCCCCGGACAGCACGCCAAATACGCATAATCTTCACTCTGTTTAATTGATGTAAGTGTGAACTTGTGAAAGCCCTTAAAATTCCTTTATGATGAAAACTTTGAAGTTGCTGCAGCTCCTCCAATAGGTTTTTTAAGGTCTGGGCTTCTTTAACCCTCGGGGGTCGACGAACGCGCTGGCACATTTTGGTGGATTTTTTTCACATCGCAGCAAAATCGACTTAAAATACTCCGTCATTTATGGTTCTACGTCAGAACGCCAGTTCCGTATTGGCCGACGCTGTTCATGCGTGTGGTGCTAACGCAGGAGCTGGCCAATAATGAGGCGGTGTTCTGACGTAGATCCCGGAAGCGCTGCACTGTATTTACAATGTTGTGCGAGCAGGACGAGGCCGAGGGCCGTGGGAGAATGACGCGAGGCCGGTGGCGTGATTGCTGATGAGCGACACCTGCGCGACGCACTGGTCTCGTGTCTCTCATGGAGGAGCGGAAGCATAAAAGGAGGAGCGATGACAGAGAAGGGCGAGAGAGGACAGGCCTGGACTTGTGTTTTGTTTGTTTTATTATATGTGACAGCAGTCGTCCGTGAGGGGCTGCTGTCTTTTACTTTCATTTTGTTGTTGATTTATTTTATTATTAAAATCTTTAAATGTTCGCCGGTTCCCACCTCATTCTTCCCATAACATCTAACTTCATTACAAACGTAAACTGCGTAGGAGACTGGCGCAGACGAGAATAAATTGTTGAATAAAGTCGTTATTTGTGTTTGTTTTTGCGTACAAAAAGTATTTTCATCGCTTCATAAAATGAAGGTTGAACCACTGTAGTCACATGGACTATTTTAACGATGTCTTTACCACCTTTCTGGGCCTTGAAAGTGGTAATTAAATTGCTTTCTATGGAGGGGTCAGAGAGCTCTCGGATTTCATCAAAAATATCTTAATTTGTGTCCCGAAGATAAATAAAGGTCATACAGGTTTGGAACGACATGAGGGTAAGTAATTAATGACAGAATTTTAATTTTTGGGTGAACTAACCCTTTAAGGCCCTGATATACTCACGGCAAAGTTCTTTTTAGTCCTTCGCTTAGGGGTAAAACGAAGTGGGAAATACATGAGCAGCGATATTCTGTTATCAAACATCCGATGCCACCCACTCTGCTGAGAGCGCCGTTTAGATGAATATGTAAATATGTCCTGCACGCTATCCTCTCAACAACAAAATAAACACAACAAAATTGAGAAAACAGCAAGCATTTTTAAATAAAGCATAAGAAAAGAATCTGATCATAGCAATGTGGAAATGTTTGCACAAGCTCTGCAATTCGGCACTCAAGTCACTTATGAATTTTCACATGGTTTGTCTTAAAGCATATTAAAAACACCACATAGACATATAAACAACATTAAAAGCTAGTTCCCTTTCGAGAGGTTCCTCTTATTGCGTAATAGCTTTACGCTATGGGAAAACTCCTTTTCTCGAGAAATATTGAAGTCTTTATGTAAAACGCATTGCAGCTAGCCTGGCACGCCAGACCTACATCAAGATGTTAGGTCTGGGAACTCATCATTGACAGGGCTCAATCTGATGGGCGGGATAAACGGTTGTCTTTCAAATTCTCTCTGCACGCAATTGGATAGCGCTACAACC